TATATTACTGATATCCAGTTCAATTGCACTATGGTCTGAAATATACATGGGATAACTTCAATTCTTTTGCATTTACTTAAACATGTTCTATGAACTAGCATGTTGTCTATTTTGGAAAATGACCCACGTGCAGCCAAAAAGAATGTATATTCTGATTTTCTGGGGTGGAAAACTGTACATCTGTCAAGCCCATTTCTTCAAAAGCTTGGTTCAGTTCTAGTATTTCATTGTTGATTTTTAGTCTAGATGATCTGTCTATTTGTGACAATGGGGTATTGCAGTCCTGCACAATTGTATTAATATTTATTTTGTATAGTTGGGGGCATTAATATTTGGTGCATATATATTTATGATTGTTATCTCTTGTTGGATGATGATGATGATTATTATTATGTTTGGGTATTTTGGGGGGGGTTGTTTGTTTTGTTTTGTTTTGTTTTTTGAGACAGGGTCTCACTATGTAGTCAAGACTGACCTGGAACTCACTATGTAGCCCAGGCTAGTCTCAAACTCACAGTGATCCTCCTGCTTCAGACTCCGAGGGCTGGGATTACAGGCATGTGCCACCACACCCAGTGGTTGAATTATTCCCTTTACAAGGATGTAGTGGCCTTCGTCTCTCTTAATTAGCTTTGGTTTGAAATTTGCTTTGTCTGCAAATGAGATAGGTACCCCTGCTTTTTTCTGGGTTTCTGTCACATGGAGAACTGTTTTCCATCCTTTATTTTCCATCTATGAGTTTCTTTTTCAAGTGGGTATATTTCTTGTATATAGCATATTGTTGGACTAAGCTTCTTAATCCATTCTGCCAATCTATTTCTTTTGATTGGTGAATTGAGGCCATTAACATTGATGGTTATAACTGATATGTGATGACTTGTCATTGTCATGTTATTTTCCTGTTGTTGGTTTTTGTTTTGTTTTGTTTTGTTTTTTCCTCCTCCCTTTAAATTCTGGCCTTTTGGATTTGCTCTGTTGGGCCTCATGGAGTTGTGACCTTCGTTGTCTTTTTCTAGGATATTTTAAAAAATTGTTTGGAGTGCTTGTTTGGTATTCATGAAGTTTATCAGATGTTCTTTACCATGAAAATATCTTATTTCTTCATCAATTTTGAAAGATAATTTTGCAGGATACATCAGCCTAAGGTTGGAGGTTGTTCTTTTTTTAAGTTGAAAAACCTCACTCCAGGGTCTCCTTGACTTAAGGGTTTGTGTTGAAAAGTCTGTTGTGATTCTGATGGGCTTTCCTTTGCATGTAATTTGTTTCTTTCCTCTAACTGCTTGCAGTATTTTGTACTTCTGTTGGTTTCCAGGATCTTGATTATTATATGTCTAGGTGTAGATTTTATTTTATTTTAACTAGTTGGAGTCCTATATGCCTCACTTATCTGTATGTCAAGTGTTTTTGCTCTGTTTGGGAAGTTTTCATTAATTCTGTGGTTTAAAAAAAATGTCATTTGTGTTTTCTCCTGCTTTTTTGTGGACTCAGTAATCTTATATTATTCTTCTTCGCATCATCTAGGAACTGTTGGGTTGATTTCTCATGGTCCCTTACTATTTTTAAGAGATCTCTCTTTTCATGGTCACTGACTGACATCCTATCTTCTGTATCTGCTATTCTGTCTTCAGATTGGGTTAGTCTGCTATGTATACTTTCAATAGAGTTTTTAATCTCAATATCTGTTTGAATCTGTTTCATAGATTCCATTTCCTTCCTATGCTGAGTATTCATGGCTTCTATTATGGTCCTGAACTCATCTATTTTTTTTTTAATCTGTTTCTTTTCTAGTGTCTCTAATCATGTCTTTAATCTGGGAAATTATTTCTGTTTTGAATATTTCTAGAGCCTCATTCACCTGTTTTTTTTTTGTTTTGTTTTGTTTTTTAACAGGTGCTATCAGTTCAGATTATCCAGGTGGTTATCAGACTTTTCCATCTCATTTCCCCCAGAATTTACCTTTGGTAAGAATTACCTTTGGTAAGCTGGAAGACTGTGTCTTATTTAAATGTCTTTTAATTTATATTATTGTTGTTAGTATAGTCCTTGGTTTAGTTCCTGGGTTGATACTGAGATATAACTTATTATAACTACCTTTGTTGCTTATATTTAAAAACTTTAAACAATTATTGCTTCCCAGAGGTGTCTTCCAGATATAGCTGGTCTTTAGGATTTGAGTCTCTAATTACTCTGGGGCAATCTCATTTTCATTATACCAGGAAAGATGACAGATTAGATCAATCACAACTAGCGCAAGTGATACAATCAGCAAAAACAACAGAATCAAACACAGCTTAGAAAAATGACAATTTGTGGTAGTTATTAATCTATCACCTTCAACCATGTGAAATAAAATGAAATTGAAGACTAGCCCAAAATATGTTCATAATGAATAAACTGATCAATATAGTAACTTTACCCTTCAGGATGTGGACTCAGAAGGAGTAAAGCCCTCTATTTGGTTCTCAAACAAAACTATTCAACAAAAACTTGGTTCCATTCACAAACTGTACATTGGATGACAAACACAAACACAGTCATCTTCCTCCAAATCATAAAACAAATTAAGTTCATGATCTGAGGTACCACTGTACCTACCATCACTTTTGAAACTATTTCACCACTGTTCTTCATACAGTTATTTTCCCTGTTCTCTGTCCCTTCTTTTATCTGTTTATGATTCCACACATTTATGTGATTGTTGGGTACTGTAACGTGACTGATGATCTGGTGTTTTTCCACCTTTTGGTTATGTTTCAGTTTTGATTTATGGATCCATCTTTAAGATATCTAATATATTCTCAGCTGTGCAATGTTTTGTGTTGATGAGCTTGCTGGAGAAATTCCCAACCTGAGATATTATATGTTTATTTCATTTCTAGTATTTCCACTTGACTCATAATTCCATATTCCCATACATGCTTAACTGCTCTATTAGATTATCCAATTATCGGAAGCTATGTCTACTAATGCTATTTATTTTGCTTGTTGATTAGACACATGATGTATTGCTTCCCATAGCTTTGTTTTGCACAGTCTGCTTGTGTTTGCAAAGCTAGCCTCTGTGAAAACTGTGGAGCTCTGTTTAGGTCTTTCTTCTTCACTGTGGCTTGGCATTTGCTTCTACTAAGAGCCTTGCAATCCAGGACTCATTGTCATGCTCATCTCAGAGAACTGGGTTCCAGAATGTCCCAGAGAACAAATGGAAATGACAGAATTCTGCAGGTCACTGGCTGATGTGACAAATTTTCATGCTGTTTCTCTCTGATCGTGGGAGGTTCCCAGTCTGCACGTACATTCCCTTAGGCAAGTCAGTCCTGTGGCAGTCTCTGCATTATTTAGGAATTTCATCTGCAGTTCTTGTCTTCCCCAGGCCACATCCTCCACAAATTAAACCCAGGGCTGTTCTTCGGTTAGACCCATAGCTTACTCTTCTGGGTTTTAATTCCCTCCTGGCTTCCTAACCCTGAAGGTGCACCTTACTTTATTGTTGGGTTAGCTCTCCATAGAAAATGTCAATTAGATTTTTTTCTAGATTTCTATAGGTTGTCAGACTATCTACAGTTTTAAACATTAGAAAACAAGATAATAAATTACATCTTTTAAATCCTTTGATTTCCATTCAGTGAAAGACTATGGCACCTGCCTTGGTCTGTATCTCCTACTATTTCCTTAAACAATAACATAAAAAGGAAAGAAAAATAAAATAACATAAAATCACCCCTACAGTACAACCTAAAGACAAAAAACAAGCTCAGATTTCAAAATAACTGAAAGTAAAGAACTAAAAATGACAAAATCACAATGGGCAGTTTTTATCCCATCTTACACACCTCTGGCATGATGCTTGTGGTGGAAATGGCAGGTATGGATGGCCAGGGGCTAGAAAGCCTAAGTCTGACTAAGGGCTGTCATCAATAGGAGGAATCCACAAGGATGAGACCCCTGAGGATCCATGTCTTTTTTTTTTTTTTTTTTTTTTTTGGATTGGGGCATTGAACTTGAGGCCTTGCACTTGCAAGGCAAGCAGCAGAACCACTGAGCTAAATCCCCAGCGCAGGAACCATGTCTTGGAAGAGACAGGAGAGAAGGAACTCAGCACACATGTGATGTCATGAGCCTATCCACAGTGGTCTTAGCATCAACACCATGCTGGCACATGTAGCTCTGGGGTCAAAAGGAAACCAGGTGTTGGGAGGAGTCCCCTGCTGAAAATGAATGAAGGAGAACAGGAGCAGAAGGGAAAGCCTTTGGGTCCTGTGAGACAAGAGAGAAACAAAAACACCAGATGATACACTTATTTTCCTTGTACCAAGACAAGCAAAATATTCCATAAGGGATCTGTATTTTGCTCTGTGCATCATTTATCTAGCAAATTTGAAATATATCCCACTGCCTCAAAAACAAAGAAGAAAAAAATAAATGAATTGAGGTGGAATCATCACACAAATGTCAGAAACTGAGACTCAAACCTTCACAGAAAAAACAACAACAACATAAAAAGTCAACAAAAATCCATGGCACAAAACAAACAAAACCCCAAACTCAAGCAAAAAATCATGAAGCAAAAGAAAACTGTCAGTGAACATCCCAGAATGAAACACTCATACTCAGAGAGGCATTTAGGGATAAAAAAAAAAGTACTTTTTGAATCAGAAATGTGTACTCCAACAATAGAAATCAACAAAACACAGAAAGAAATTACAGACAGTTGAGTTAACTCAGGGAAAATGGATAGAAATGATAAAATTATCTCAAAATAAAAAACTCAGTGTCGATTGAGTCACATCAACACAGCTCCAAAAGAATGAACTATAATGAAAATTTAATAAAAGGTAAGGAATAAAGGCAGGAAACCAACCAAAAAATGGTAATGAAACAAAGAAAGATGCAAAATATGTCAACAAGGATGCAGTTTGTATTAGTCAGCAGTTTATTGCTGTGACAAAATGGCAACGTGGATACAAATAAACTAAAAGGACAGCTCTACTGTGGCCCACAATTTCAGAGGTCCCATCCATGGTCAGCTGGCTCTATTGCCCAGGGTAAGGCCCATGTTGAGGCAGAGGTGTCCTGGCAGAGAAGAGCTGACACATGACAGTCAGAAGCAGACAAGCACAGAAGACCCAGGATGTCAATCCCAAGGTCACATCCTGTGATTGGCCCCTTCCAGCCAGGCCCCACCTCCTGTTTCTGTCACTTCCCAACAATGCTGTCAGATTCTGTTTCACCTGTGTATTAATCTGCGGATGAAATGAGAGCCCTCAGGATCAGTCTTCTTGGAAACACTCACCCGCACAGGCAGAACTGATTTCTTAGGTGTTTCTCAATCCAGTCAAGAACCAAGTCTGACTGTCACATAGTAGATTAGGGTCACATCCAAGACAAGGGTGACTGATTAATACAGTAGACATTTAAATTTTAAAAAGTATTTGATAGTAAATGACACATTGCCATTCATCCTTCTTTGAACAAGCTTAACCCACTGCTCTGGCCACTTTCTGCAGCAGATCTGGAGTCCTCTTTCCTGAGGGTCTATACCAAGTGTGATGAAAAATATAATGACCGCTGCTGCCCAGTGCCACTCAACAGAAAGGCAGCTCATAAAAACACGACACTGTGTCCTCGTCCACCTTATTCACAGGATCTGGCACCGTGTGACTCCTGGCTCTTCCCAAAGTCAACACGACCATGAAACGTAAATGTTTTGAATCAATTCAGGACATTGAGCCAGCCACAGCAGTGCAACTAAAGACACTGAGGAGAGAGGGCTCCAGGGCTGCTGCAGGAAGTGGCAGGGATGATGGGATAAGAGTGTTCAAAGCAAGGGTGAAGACTTTGAGGAGGATTCATTAAATATGTCTCTTACTGTAATTTTTAAAAATGTAAACACTTTTTATCACACTTCATAAAGGCAAAGAAGGAATAATCTTTGTGCATTTGGTGTGATTAATAAAACAGCAGGAAAAAGTGAAGAATAAAACTGATATTTAATATTATAATCTACAAGAACTTTATGGTAAGAGAACAGGATTTCATTTTGAGATGGTTTATCAATAATCTGGGAAAATTAACTCCAACATGTATCCCAGCCCAACTCCTAGATTTCAAAGGCAAAGCAAACAACAAGACAAACAACATAGCCAGCCACCTTCTCCACCTCCAGGAAGGGCCTCAGACACCAAGCATCTGCCGTCCATGTGGGTATTCACTGAGTACCATAATATACTGAACCTTAAGGACCTTCTAGTCAGTGAAATAAACCAAGTACTGTTTTCAGTGAGGTGTCCAGAGGGGCCAAGCTTCTAATGAGATGTGCATGGTGGTTGCCAGAGGCAGATGGGAGGGTAGGTTAGGAAAGGAGTGCAGAATAGGTATAGGGTGTAGTGTGACAGGACAGAAGGAATCATGGATGTGGGCAATGGTGATGGCTGTGTAACACTGTGACTATGCTGGATACTGTGAAACTGCACCATTAAAATAGTTATGCTGGTAAATTATCTTATGTATATTTAACCACAATGAGAAAGTTGAAAAGAAAGAAAATGAATTAAAATAAAATTTTAGATGATGAGCTGAAAAGATGATAGAGAAATAGGTAAAAGATCCATGAGATGCACAAGAAACAAGAAGAAACCAGAGGAGTGGTCCTGACAGTGGAGAGAGACAACTCCATTCCTAAAGCACTGAATATGACACAGAAAGGTCTTTTTAATTCTGAGAGCTAAAATCCACACAAAGATTAACACTCAGAAAAATCTATGCACCAAGTAGCAGAAATAATGCTTATGAAGCAGAAACTTCAGAAAATGCAGTGACATTTAAAAAAAATTTTAATATGAAAAATTTATACATTGTTCTCAATAAAAGATTTAATGGATAAAAAGTAAATAAGGAGAGAAGAAGAAAGCAAGCAGCATGATCAGTGGGGTAGAAAGTAAACATACTCTGCATTCCCTAGCTGTCTCAATGTTAGAGAACACATTTTCTTTATAAGTACTCATGGGACATTCATAAAAACTGACTTAGGTGTTTGGACACCAAGAGCAAATCTCATAAAGTAGAACTATTATAAATGACATGTGATTTGAGTACAGTAAAACTAGAAGTTACTAACAAAAAGGAGAGGCCCTACTACCTGGAACTTGGAACATATTTTTGTTCAAAAACTTCTTGTTAAATGGGAAATACAAACTAAAATGTTATTATTTCTGGGAAATAATGACTAATTAAAATATCAAACAAAAATTTTATAGAATATATTAAGAACACCATTAAACACTCACTGGTAAAATTTTTAAAAAGTAAAAGAATTAACCAGGTCTAAAAACCAGTAAAGAGCAACAAAGTAAACAATAAAGTAGCAAAAGGAAGAAAATATGACAAAGTCAGAAACTAAAAGGATATAGAAAAGACAGCAGAGTGAATATATCAAAATGCTGGATTTTGGGGAAAAATTAATAAACAAGACAAACCACTAATTTAATTGATAAGAAAAAGTAAAAGCATTTATAAAATAGGAAAAGAAAAAAGGAAGATAACTATGGAAACAGATGAAATTCTAAAGTTCATGAGACAATCTGAAGGAGATCATGCAGATAGCTCAGAGAACTTAGAAGTGGATAAATTTCCAGGGAAATAGAGGTGGCTAAAATTGACCCTGTTTGATTAAAAAGAAACCCAAAAACCCCATGCAGATCAAGTTCTCTAAAATGAAGTTTGAAGGGACTGCTGCAGGAGCAAGCACTGGGCTGAGATGGTTTCACAGGGTGCTTCTAGTAAACCTGACAAGTTAAAATGCTTCTAGGACTCTGTCAGTTTCCCCAGAGAATCAAAGAAGGAAAGAAAATATTATTTTTCATAAAGTAAGTACAGCATTGGCACTTCAGCCTGATAAATAATTTTAAAATACTGTTCAGATTAATGTAATTAGATGCCAGAATGCTAAAATAAAAATTATTAAGCAAGATCCAATACCATCTTAGGAAAGTATTCAACATAGCAGGGCTTGGTGGCACACATATGTAATTCTAGCTCCCTGGAAGCACGAAGAATGCAAGTTCAAGTCTAGCCTGAACAATTGAGTGACTCATTGAGACCCTGTCTCAAAAATAAAAAGAAATGTAAAAAGGGCTGGGGGTAGAAGGCAGTGTGAAGGGTTTGAGTTTAAACCCCAGGGTCAGAAAAAAAAATCCCACCTCATAATCCAGTGGAATTTTTACCAGGAAGGCAGGGTTGGTTCAATCTTTGGAAATCCATTAATGTCACTCACCATGTAAATATGTATAAAAAGAAAACATTATTTCCAAAGACGATGCAAAAGACTGACAAAATGCAAAAACAAACAAACAAACAAAAAAACGCTGGTACTTTCTTCACATACTGAAATATGTGTGCCCTGCCCTAAAGTCAGAGTCTTACTTACTGGATAAACACTAAGATCACAAACTAGGCAAGGACACCCCTTAACTACCACTGCTCAACTTTGTCTTAGGTATGCTGGCCAGTACAGCTAGGTAAGGGAATCAAGGAGACACAGTCATTGGGAAAGGAGAAAGCTGTTCCACCTCACAGGTGACTGTATGCACATCAGGGAAATCTTGGACAGGGGCAAAGCTAACAAAAAATGCCAGAATCCCATAAGGTAGCAGGATGAAATTCGCCTCCAGAAATCAGCAGCATTCATTTATACAAGGAGAATCAGCCAAAGGAAGCAATGGCAGGAGAAAACTCATGTATAACAGCAACGAAGATGAATAAATTTAACATGAAAAATGCAACAGGCTTACAAGGAAAAATCCCAGTATCCCTGACAGATACACAAGTAGCCTGAATGAGAAGGAAGACGTCACCGGTTCTTGGAAAGAACTGAACACCTCAGCAAACTTTTGTGAAAATAAAGTAAAAATGCCAAGCTTGAAACAAGGGAAATTAAATATGTTACCCCCCACCCAAAAAGCAGGAATAACACTGAAAAGGAAAAGTTAATGGGAAGCAGAGGAGGCAGCAGCAGAGGTCAGAATGCAGGTACAGAGAGGAGCAGGGACGTGTGGCTGGGGAGAGACATCGCAAGACGGAAATTCACCTCGAGAACCATGAGGGCCTGGCGGGTCTGCCTGGGCTGCTACCCATAGGAAGATAAAATTGGAAGCACCGCATGCTGCACCTGAAGATAAAGCTCTGTGAGGAGAAGAAGTCACCTAATGAGCATGGGGAGCACAGCGTCTCTTGGGCCTCTGTGAGGGAAAGATTTCCCAGCCATGGGTCACGCATTCAAAGCAATGAAGACTAGCGATTTTGACAACACAAAAATTGATGTTTTTGTAGGAAAAATCATGAACATCATCAAAAGTCAAATGATAAAATAAAAAAATATACTTGCAACATGCATTTCAAAGGTTTAGTATTCTTAAAAATAGAGCTCTTAGAAATTGAGGTTAAAAGACCAAAAACCTCAGAAAAGGTGGAGCTGGCACGGATACCTGTACAGAGGTGGTGTCAGACAGCCCTGATGTAGGAGATTTTAACACTCAACCAGAGGACTTTGGAGCGGAGAGGCCTGGCAGGACGCCACCATCCTGTGTCGCCGGCCTTGGGGAAGCGCAGCACAGTGGCCCCATCGCCTGGCAGGTGGGGACCGAGAAGCCCGCTTCTCTGCTCACCTTGAGGAGAGGCCTGTGGCTCCTGGCTGTTCTCAGGGATAGTGAGGTACGGAATCTCACCAGTATTCTCTTCTCTAGTGAAGAATATGGAAAACACGGGAAACTGTCCGGTTATGCACACACAGACACTGCGGCATTATGTAGACATGAACTGAGAGGCTATTTCATTCTCATTTTATCTGGAAATATGTCTGGGAAGTCAGTGGGCAGCCGAGATCTCCCACCAAGTTGTACCCTCCTCCTGGGAAGGGTTTCCATCTGCATCTGTCTATCTCCCATGACATTCTCAATTTGGGCAGGGAATTTCTGGGACGTGTTTACCATTTTTGCAAATTTTGTCCTTACTGCCAGAGAGAATTAGAGACTCCTAACAATTCCCGATAATTCTCAGAACCATCAGCTTGATAAATCTCATCCATCCCGGTGTCTTTGAGGGGATACACGAGATTACAGGGAGAAAAACCATATACTTGCTTTTTTCTGTGTGGACCCTCGATAGTGTTGATGCTGTTCTGTATGTGTCAGGAAGTTTTGATTTGTTTCTTTCCAAAATCTCTTGGACTAGAATCTCATCTTGGGAGAAACAGGAGGACACGTGAGAGCCACGCACTGTGAGGGCTGATGTCCCAGGTGCCAGGCCCACCAGGGTCTCAGCGTCTGCCCCCTGGGAACCCAGCCTGTATCCCTGCAGCCTCCCTGGTGCCCTGGGTGGCTGGGCTGAGAGGAGGAGGTCGGGGCTCAGCAGACAGATGGGCAGGCCGGTGTGGCCCATGGATGGGCGTCACCGGTCATGGATGCCGCGTCCCCGCCTCACTGTGCAGCCGGCTGCCAGGAGCTCAGTTCTGAGGCTCTCAAAGCCCACGCCCGTCCGAACTGTGACACTAAAGCCAGGGGACTGATTCTGCCCATCTCCGCTGTCCCGGGTGCTGAGGCCCAGCACCTGACACCCCCAGCTTCCAGGAGCAGAGCTCTACTTTGGCTCAGGGTTTCTGTCCTGCTCGGCCCGGCTCAGGGCAGAAACAGCAGGCAGAGGGTGGTAGGAAAGGCTGCTCACCCCAGGCAGATGGAAGCAGAGAGGAGGGGCAGACGCCACAGCCCTGCAGGTCCTCAGCCTGGGGACCCCCTCCCGCCGGGCCCCACCTCCCGACAGCACAGTCTGCCGGAGTCCTCCGTGAGGATCCACTGTCGTGCACAGCACCCGGGACCCAGTCTCCTTCACACGGAGGGCTTCGGGAACAGTGCAGATCCAAACAGGAACAGGAACAGGGCCTCCCACCAAACCCGCTCCGCGTCCACCCGTCCCTCGGGTTATTTGGGACGTACCCGTCGCGGCACAGCCTCCCCATGGCCCAGATGTTTGGCACCAGGGGTTCTTACCGACCACTGCACGCAGGTCTTGAGTTTTCAAGCTGATTGACCCTCCAGTAGTTGGGCCTGTGAGGGGAATGAAAACCCTGCAGGTTAACAGAAGCCACTCATCTGCCTGTGCCTCTCTGTAAGTGGATGTGGTATCGGGGGATGCCATCCTGTTCTAGAGTACTGAGAGTGGCCACAGAGAAGCCCCCTGGGACAAGCTCAGAGGTTTGGGGGTGAGTGGGAGGAAGGACGCACGTCCTTGTGTTAGAGCATCACGGTGACCCCTCTGGATGGTGACGGTCATTCACGGGAGGCCACCAGGCTGGAATGGCGCCAGCGCCCAGATTTCTACCTGACAGCCTAGAGGAGCTCTGTGCACACAGCAAGGGGCACTTCCACTCAGCCCTGACCAGGGGCTGCCTGCTCTGACCACCCAGATGCTGTCTGGCATCGCTCAGGAGGCTTCCCAGGTCCAGTAATGACCCCACTGCTCCAGGACTGGCCCTCACTGGCTCTTGAGTTGTTGATGTGTGCTGAGCTCCGCAGGATTTTTCTGAGCCCAAGGTCACCTTTTAACAGAATAATCTGCACAGTGAATGCATCTGAAAGCTCAGATGTGTGACACGGAGAGGGGAACGGGTGGGTGAGAAGCCATTTCACGCCGTGGTTCTCAGTGGGGGACAGGAGGACCAGGGATGGACCACCCAGGTCTCCGCTCTCAGGGGCGCAGAGCTTTAGGGAGATCCTGCCTGCTCAGGAAGGAGGCCCAGACGGCGGGCGTCCACAGGCCCAGGGCCCTCTGGTCTGTGGCCTCGGTGGCCTTAGGGATAGGAACTGCCACACTCAGCCACCAGCAGGTTTGTTTGGAGAGCCACGTCCTCCTCCTGACACCGAAGCTTTCCCTTCACCAGGGATGGCACCCAGGTCTCCGCTCTCAGGGGCGCAGAGCTTTAGGGAGATCCTGCCTGCTCAGGAAGGAGGCCCAGACGGCGGGCGTCCACAGGCCCAGGGCCCTCTGGTCTGTGGCCTCGGTGGCCTTAGGGATAGAGG